AATCCTTATCTTCTCTTGTCTGCCCAAAAAATCATTGATAATGTCAAAATTGGAGTCAGTTGCAAACATGAAAGTTGTAGGCAATTGTCTCATCTTTCTTGTGTAAACAATTCAACTCATTTGGACTTCTAGAACTCCAGATATGGCCAAAATACTAAACAGTGCTCGGGCTGGAAGACAGATTCGGGCTTCTTTGTTGTTGCTACAATTTGAACTTCAAAATGGCCTTTTTAGATCTTGGGCTCCATATGAAAGTTGTAGGCCTATGTCTTACCTTTCCATCCATATAAATTGGACCTAAATTTGAGATATATATCTCTAGATATGACCCAATTACCGAACAGTGTTCCGGTTTGGATTGCACCGACATCTCTTTTCTAAGTTTGGCCATCTCTTTATCCTTGCAATTTAAGTTCTTAAAGTCATCAATCAATCCTTTCATTTATGTGATAGGCCTGCATTTAAAATGAACATTTACCACAAATTAAAGGTATCTTATATTATTAGATATATTATTATAAAACATGCTTTGGTTAAGGAGTTATTGATACTTCAAGTGCAAAATGATGATATAAAACCATGATAAAAATGCATTTTTAAGTACTAATCAGCCACCACTTCACCGATGACCAGATCACGTGCATTTCAAAGCATTGTGCATTAAATGCATCTCTGATTGTGTCATATTACCGACAGATTTACCAACGGACCACGAAAAATATGGAGGGACATTAAACATTTTGGTGCAAAATTTAAAATTTACTGATGGATTTTTACACCTCACCAACAAAATAAATTAAAAATAATGATTAATTTTCTATCCGTCGGTTAGTCCGTCAGGAATCCGTCAGTAAAATAGCCATAGAAGTGCCCCCGACCGCCTCTTCAGTTCATTTTCTCTCCTCCAAAGTTCTTCTCCTTTCTTTTCCTCTCCGTTCTGATCTCCCCGGTGATATCAAGCTGTTTTTTGTGGTGAATCTCCATCAATTGAAAAGGTTAGTGTTTCTTCTTTTTCATTTTACTTTAAAGGCTTCTTTTTGTGATTTTTTTGTTATGTTTTTTGTTTTGGTGTATTTTTTGTAATGTAGATAAAATCCATAGTGTTTGTTTGCATAATTCATTGCTAAAGTCTATAGTTTTTTTTATTTAATTTATTGAATATTTTTTATTGTTGTTTTGGCATAATTATTATTAGTTAATTTGTTGAATATTTATTGTTAATGTTGAATTTATCTTAGGATTAGTAATTGAATATGTTGGAATAATTATTAATTTTACTTTATTATTGCATGATTTGGGTTTAATTTTTTCCATTTATTTTGATTGTTATTCTAGAGTTTTTTTTAATTTATTGTTTTGTTGTAATGGCATAATTATTGAATAATTTGTGGAATTGTAATGTTTAATGTTGAATTTACCTTAGGATTAGGAATTGAATATGTTGGAATAATTAGTATAGATTGGGTAAATTGGTTGTGGCTATTGTTAATATGTGTAGGTTTATGGATTTGGGTAGTATTCAGTATAGGGGAGGTGCTGTCGAATTTTTTTTTTAACATTTGGATTTAATTATATAATTATTTGTATAAAATTATGTAGATGCGTAGATCGAAAACCAGAGTTGGTCGCTCACGTAAGGTCGTAACTAGTTCGTCTAATAACGATGATGATATCTCCTTGGTGCCTCTTCTTCAGAGGCACCTACACCACCTGTGCCGTCAACCGATGTTACCTCTTCCAGCGCTACTTCACAACGTAGAGGCGGCGTGTCTTCACAATGGAATCAATTTACCCGCCAGTACGAGGCACAGTGGAAGCATGACCTTTCAATGTAAGTTTGTTAAGGTTTTAGTTTTTTCTTTTTGATATTACAACATAATTTATGAAATAATCACTATTAAATTTATTTTATTTATTTTCAGGTTCACAAACATTGAAGCTGCCCGAGTAATATCATCGGCGTTTAAATTGTAGATGAAGATTCTATTGTTTCAGTAGAGTTAGATATCAAAGCATCCTAAATGGATGCCTCAAATCAATGCATGGTTTAACAGGTTTGAGGTTGGTATTAATTTATAATTTTTAGCTTATTAATTTAATTGTAAATAAATTATTATTTTTATCTAAACTTGTTCATTTATACACAGTACAAATTCTGCTGGGAGAGTGAGCATAACACTGTTGTGAGGAGGGTGTGCGAAAATCACGCAGCAGCTAGGTAAGATCGAAAAGAATACAAGATTTTTTTTAGACAAAAATTTATGTTCTGAAATGTAATTTTTGGTTGCTTAATGTAGGTTGCGTGATTTTTGGTATGAAGCACCAAAAAAAGCAAAAAAAGTCATAAGGGATAGGAGTTTACAAGGCTAGAACAATGTTGCGATTTGAAGGAATTTCAAACCGATATACATCTCGAAAGATATATGGCCGCACTCTATTGAGCACCTGACATCTGAGTAGTTCACACGATGCTCATGGTCCGATGCTGGCAACTAGAATCGACCAATTCATGGCGGGGTGACAACGCATACTAGCGGCTCCATTCCGTTTGCTGCACATGCGAAACGGATGGTAAGATTAATTTAAATGAAATATATCGTTAAATTCAATTGTTGTTAATATATCTTTTTTCATTATAGGTTGCGTCTCTTGGACGTGAGTCGAGCCCGATGGAGCTGTATGTGGAGACGTACGTGCGGAGTCAAGACCACCAGAAGGGAGTGCAATAGTTCATTGATAACCGTGCTCAACATTTCATGGTATGTTTGTTCAACCATTTCATTTTGTAAGTTACTATGTTTATTGAATTGAATATGATGATTACTTCTTCTTGTTTTTTTAGGAGACCTATAATAATCGGTTGAGGGAGAGATATGGGGATGATATTTTGAACCATCTAGAATTCGATCCAGATTTGTGGATGAAGGCTGGCTCTTTAGATGGAACCGATATAATCGGGTTTACGAGCTCTCTAACACTACGGCTAACAACTTGCGGTTGACCCGTAGTGTTTCAACTATTGGGAGCTCTCAATCAATATCGAGCTCCAAATCTCAGGAGTTCGAGGCCTTGAGCAACACACGACTCAGCTCACCGAGAAATACGACCACCTATCAGCGGAGTACACGCACCTCAAAGCGTCTCAAGAGCAACAAAAAGCGGAGTATGAGCAATAAAAAGCAGAGCATGAACAACAAAAAGTGGCTTACGAATAGTTTCATGAAATGGTTATAAACATGGCAAATAGTGGAACATGTGCGCCTAATCCTTTTTGGCAGTATAACCACTAGCCTCCTCCAAGATCTCTTCCTCCTCCTCTAACTCCACCTTTATATTAATTTGTAATAAACATTATTTAACATTAAAACTTCATTTAATATTTTCTTTTGAAACATATTCAGTTTGTAATGAATATTATTTAACTTTGTTTTTTTTCTTTAATATAAATTTTATTTGCATAATTGATTTGTATTACAATTAATTTACATAGTTTTATATTATATATCCTAAATAATTTTTCAAAAATAAATTTAGAAAAAAAACAATTACCTATGATTTCATACAGTCACCAACCGAATTGCCGACGGAATTACTCCATTAGCATTTAACAGTGGCTACCATACTTACTGACTAATTTATAGACGAATATATTTAGTCGGTATTTCATACACTCACCGACCGACTTACCGATGGAAAAACTTTGTTAGCATTTGATAGTAGCTGCTACATTTACCGATGAATTTACATATGGATATATTCGGTCGATATTTCATACAACTACCGACAACCCTACTGACGGTTGGTGTCTGTCAGTAAATCCGATATCACCGACAGAATACAAATTTGTCGGTATATTCAAGTGGGAATCTTTTTTTTTTTGTGCGCAAATTTCGTCTGTAAAACCATCGACAAATGGTTTTTTTGTTTTTCCGATCTATATAGCGATGGAATGTTGAATCACCGACAAAAGGTAACCTGACAGATATCATTCATCGATGATGATATCGGTTGAAAAATTACTGACGAACTTCTAATCATACACCGATGGAAGGTTCCGTTGGTAAAACTGTGAAATCTTATAGTGTAACATGCCCACCCTTTATCAATCAAGTGATTCATTGCCCTCACTGTCTCATCAATCGGAGTGGGCGATGACAAGAGATGACATCAACATACTCCATATCCAATCTCTTAAGAGAAACCTCAATACCCTCAAGAATATGTTTCCCAGACAAGCCTTCATCATTAGGGCCGGGACCTCCCTCAAAGATCTTAGTAAACACAGATCGCTTGACCCATCATTTCTGAGGATCTTCCATTATCATAAGCCTCTGCGTTATCAAAGGAACTGACACCATGGTCTCTACAACACCGCAACAGTGATCTCGCTTCTTTGACGTTTAGGTGGTTCCCAAAACTTACCCAAGCTCCATATGAGAGCTGGTTCACTTTCAGCCCTGTTCTTCCTAGATTCTTGTATTGTATTTTTTTATTTTTTTCCTTTTGGGGTGGATTGAAGAGAGAGAGAGAGAGAGGCGTGGAAGAATGGAGGAAGTGAAGTGTAATAGTGGTGTGTAATGGTTGTTATGGTTGGCTGAGGTAAAGGCTTTTAGTGGTGACTTGGAGGGTGGGGTTGTCGATGATGGTGTTACTGGAGGTGTAGAAATGGGAGGTGGGTTGATTATTTTGGTCTAAAGAGAGGGATGAAGCATTGTATCAGTGAGAGTGGGTCTCACGATGCTTGCGAGTTAGGGAAGTTGATGAAGAGGGTTGTCGGTTTGGGTAATTACGGGTTGGTGCTGGTCTAAAGGAAAGAATAAAAGGCAGCTGACGGCTAGTTATGCTTATTGGTATAATGTTTTTTATTTTTTTTATTTTGTGTTGTGTGGGTGATTGTGAGCTGGTGAATGTTCACAAAACAGGAAAAAATTCTAATTCTAATTCATACACACATTAAATATTTATAATCCAGAACTGGAGTTTGTAAATAATTCCGTACAATTTTTAATAATATTTAAGTTATTGGTTCGGGTGACAAGGAGAACTAGATCAGCCTGATGTCTTAATTAGGTGACATGTCTACGTTTCCTTAGCATTAAAATCGAATTTTTTACAGTTTAGCGGTTTTTCTATCACCTTAACTGGATTGGATAATTTGATTGAAACAAATGTTTTAATAGGTTTGGTGCTCTAATACACAAGACGGATAATCCTGTACCAAGTCCATGAATAATTTTTGTCAGGAGGTAAAGAAAAAGGGAAGAAAAGGTCCCACCTCAAACCATTGCAACTCCTCCTGAAGTTTAAGTGCAGGCCCAGGCTTGGTTCCTCCTCTGTAATGCTCCATATCTGCAACATGGTGCAACAATGTGTTGCCCTTCTTATCAATTACTCGATGCAGTCTAGCCAATGGTACTTTCTGTTGCTTCACAAGATTGAAGATCTCTTTCTGGCGATGCATGACGGCCACATCCAAAATGCTCTGGCCCTCCTCATTGAGATGCTCAACAGCGTGGGGATATTGATCTATTATCCCCCACACAATCTCTTCTATTCCATTTATAGTTGCAATAAACAATGGGATATGCTCCTTCCTAGCATCGGGATATTTTTTCATTATCTCCAACACAATTTCTTCTTTTCCATTTTTGGTTGCAATAAACAATGGGATCTTCTCCTTCAATGATGAGTTCGTTTCAGAAGTTTCTGTTGTATAATGAAGTTGGATTTCAACTGTATCTTTTCCTTTGCTAGTGAATTCAGATAACTGGTTTTCTCCCTTTCTATATTCTTTCCCACCCAGTCCTTCCTTTGTTATGCTGACACTGACTTTATTCAATGACTCATCTTTCTCTATTAGGATTTCGGCGACTTTCAAAGCAAATACATGCTTTCTTTTCTGGTTCCAGAATCCTTCTAGCCAACATCCTACTTCATGTTCATGCGAAGGGGAATGAAATTAAACATGGATGACAGGATGATAGTAGAAATGTTAACAATGATAGTAGAAGGATGAACAAAAAAATATCATGATTGTAGAAGGTGAAAAAATAGATAATGATTGTCTGGTTTTTAACCTTTATATCAGCAATTCTTATTACTTTCATGATTGTATCTCTCCTCACGTCATCAAATTAAAATCTGCAACGTGACAGATCATTACTTATCATTTTTGACGCCGCAAACTAGAAATACAACACTAGTAAAATTTGGAGGAAGGAACATAACAAGTCCATTAAATCTGCCTTTGAAAAAGAAAGAGAGAGAGAGAGAGACTCAATAATATTCAAACTAACATTGGCTACCGGATTCAAATATTTGTTCGAGCCATCAAATTTTAATATCGATATACAAAGGTAGCTCAATATATAATACCACCTAGCCTTGAAACCAAAAGAACAGGCCCCAATTGTGTCCAATACCTTTAGGGACCTTTAAATATTTGAGTATGCCGCCTCTTGGTTTCCTCTCCAGCATCTTTCTTTCCTTCAACCAAGTTTCTACCAGTGATTTTACCTCGTGGTGACGTTTAACAGGAAGGCCTGCAACATAATATAGAGTTCAATTTATATGTGTGTGTGCATACACATATACATATATACATATAAGAGTGTGTGCGTGTGTGTCCATGGTATACATACAAGAAATATGTAGGCAATATTGTAAGGTCTAATAATGTGGTTAGTGTAGGCATACAGCAGTAGATGAGCCTTTCACATGTGCCCATGGGAAATCCACTCTCAAAAGCGGTTGGCATTTGGGCTAGAAGTTGAAAAGCAGTTACGCCGTCTTTGTCCGTCAACTTGTGGAGCGAGTCATCCATTTCTAGCAACAGTAAAGCTGTTTCTGCATTCATGAAATGAGGCATGGAAGAAATATACGATATCTTATATATGTATACTTTTAAATTCGATAATTAGACAAAGAGAGGAATTGTTACCAAAGTGTTGCCCTCTGATAGCATTGCTAAGGATGGACAGGTCATCTTTCGTTCGCTTGATGTGAATTGCTAACAGGCTGCCATTATCATCCACGCATTGTTGTGGTTTGGAACGGATTAAAAACTCCACTATTTCTGCCTCAGCAAATCCAGCGGCTGTAAACAATGGGGTTTCACCGTAGTTATTTGTTTCCTTAAGGAGGTCTTCACATCTATCTACCAAGAGTCTTACAGCCTCATAATTCCCGTAGATGGTTGCCTCGTGAAGCACCGTATTTCCAAATTTGTTTTTCTCCTGAGAAATTCAATATCAGGTAGATTGGACTCTGTCACAGTTACAAGGGATTCTGTCTCATTAGGTACAAGGAATTTCATATCATTCACGATTTCAAGTAAATCTTTAAGTGGTTGCTCTTGTTTGCTGTACACAGCTAAATGAAGTGCAGTATCCGCAGATAGCGTAACTGGCAAGGGCATTTCTAGGACACGTTCCTCATAATGGACAAGCATGCTTTTCCAATTTCCACTCATGGCTGCTCTATAAGGTATCCCCATTATAGGAAGAGAACCCATGTTTTCTCTCTACAAAAAATTACGTAAGTGACTATTGTTAATGAACAATCTCAACTCAAAGCTAAATAATGTGAAACTCTAAAAATAAATTTATATTATATAACTCATTAATATAATGGAAAACAAAATTAGGAAGTGAGCACTCAAGGAGAACTGTAAGTATGTCATACCTTTAAGTAATGGAAATGATCGAAATGCTCCTCCACCTACTTCTTGGTAAAGTCAATGTCAACAAGAAAACTATTATGTTTCCGGAGAGATGACTACAAAGAAACAACCTAGCTTGTAGTTTTTTTTCTGAATTAAGTCGTTTGAGAACCCTATATATACAATCCCTTAATTCCTTTTTCAGAAAAAAGGTAACTTAGGATCTGTGTGTTGCTTGTTTGGTTTATAAAGTGAAACTATTACGAGAATATAATAAAGATATGTTGATTCTCCTTTCGCTTAAAATAATTTTAAATTTAAATTTTATAAATAATTTTATATTTAACTTTCTAACATTATGTGATGTTTTGAATAAATGAGTGGGAAAATACAATAAAACCCTTGATGGCTTAAAGTTTGGGTATAAATGAATGAGAGGTAGTGTAGTAATTCAACAAAACTTGATAAATATAAATAGAAAGTGAAGAAAAAAGAAGAAGAGATCTGAAATTGGAGAGAGAATCGGCAAGAGAGAGAAGGGAGAAAGAAGAAGAAGAGAAAAGAGGGAAAATAGAAGGAAAATAGAAAGGAGTTGAAGGAAATAAGTTTAAAGGTAAGATTTTGTATAAATATGTGTTAATTAAGCTTTAATTTCAGTTTTGATAAATGTTAGGGTTTTGAAAATTTCTGTTTTGGGTTAATTGATGAATTAAGTTGAATGTTATGAGTTGATTGTTGTAGGTAATGGATTATTAAGTTGAATTTGAGAGATTGTAAATAAAAATGATGATTTTGAGTTATGGTTTTGTTTGAATGGTGAATTTGTGTTAGAAATAAGTGGATAATAGTAGGTAATCTGTGAAAATTCTGGGTTTGAGGTTGAAGATGATGAAAATTCAATTTGGTCCCTCAATTTTGGAAAATTACAGTTTAGTCCCCATACTTTGGAAAATTTACAGATTGGTCCCTGGAGCCTATTCCAAGATTCTGAACAGAATAAAAGATAAATTATGGGCATAATTCCTGTATAGTTATAAAATTTTAACACTTTCAATTTGGTCCTTCAATTTGACACAAATTACCATTTAACCCTAAAAATTTGATAAAACTGCAGAATGGTCCCTGGAGTATAATGAGATGATTTGGACAGAAATGAGGATTGATTATGGTCAGAATTTCAGTATAGTCATGGATTTATGATAATTTTAGTTTAGTCCTCCAAATGGATAAAGTTACAATTTGACCCTTAAAAATATGATAAATTACAGATTAGTCCCTAGCTGTAATATTAGCTTTTGTAGATGGGTTTGATGAATAATTGAGGGTAAGTTAGTGAAGTATTACCAATTTTATTATTTGTTTTATTATGGATTAGATTTCGAGAAAACTGTTAATTTTTTGGTTTTTGGAAAAATAACTAGTTAGTTAAAAAAAAACATATAGGGTTATGGAATAGACCCTTAGTTAAGTGTATTAAATAGGTTATATGTTCTTTGAGTCATTCTTGAATATATTTCTTTTATATTCAGATAATCCTGATATTCTACCAGCGGGACGTTAGTAGGATTTTCTTCGGTGTCTACTTTTAACTTTTGTTTGCTTCGAGTCAGGTGAGTGGATAATTTTCCATATGCATGAGAAATATTATAAATATTTGATTTGTTAATATGAATTGGATCATGCTTCTTGATAATATATATGGTGACTATTATCCTTGTTATGATAAGCATGATCATTCGTTGAATCCGAATTCTTGATATAAACCAGTATGTATTTTGGATTGACTTCTGAATTGATAACTCCTCATTTAATTGATGTCATGAGTTGAGTCTTGAGATATGAATATGTCTGTTTGATTATGATTATGACCCTATGGTATGTCAGTCAGAATATCCATGCTAACAGGGTAGTGTTAGTCTTTGTGCACATCGTATCTGAACCCTAGTTGGTCGGGGAAGTCACCAACCTGTGTGGACTGATCATCCCACAGTACGGAGCCTCATGCTCATTGCATTTTAATTTTCTGACGAATTTTACCATATGATATTCTTGTTATGGCCTATTTGAGAAACCTTTTTATAACACCCTAAAGCCATACTTTTATATATATTTCTCATTGTTGTATTATCTCGTGTGTGTGTATTGAACGTTATCTACTCACTGAGTAGTTGAACTCACACTCTCATTATTTATCATTTTCAGGCTTATAGCTTGATAGCAGGTCACTTTTATTGGACCTTCAGAACCTGCTCTTTTGGTTGTAATTCGTATATTTTACTTTATGTCTAATTAGTGCTCCAAAACTATGAAATTATATTAATTCTTGTATTAAGACAATTCAATTATATTATAAAGTTGATTTTGTTATTAATGCTGCGTTGAACTCTGATTGAGTTAGGATAAATTTGTGTGTAAGTTTGGGTTCGCATGTATGGAACCTTGAAGGGGAACCTTGTCTATGTGCCGGTCATGGATCTGGGATTCGAGTCGTGACACATTCCATATTATCAGCACCCATCTAAGCTTATTATTTATTTTAAATAATTAAATAATGCTTTGTATCGATCTCTTAAAATAGACTTTTCTTTTATGGTGAACTCTTGCTGATGAGCTCCTCCTTTTAGGGATATTTTCTTCCATATTAATAATTTAATTAATCTGTTTCCAGAAGTATATATTAGCTTAAGAACTTGTTTAAATGATCATTATAAAAATAAATATATTAAGATTTGATTTTGGTCAGATTTGTTTTTCTTAGTTTCATTATAAGTGAAAAATGTATTGCATTTGTTAAACCATAATATTAATTGCAGCTTGAAATCAAGATTAACATTCTTGCTTCTAAAATAGGCAAGCAAAAAAGAAGAAATTAATTTATTACTTTTTTAACCTTTTTTTCCTTTTAATTGGAATAATCCTATTTTAATTGTTCATATTTGCTTCTTTTAGTTAATTTGTTATTTTGTTAATAGCATTACCTAAATCTTATGATCTCTCAATTACTATAAAAAAAAATATTCTCATTTGCTTTCTCGTACATAAATACACTTATTACATTATAATATGAGATATTCTCATTTGCTTTAAAGAAGTATAGAATATAAAATTGTATACAAAATAATTCTACCCTTAAGTTCCATATCCATACTGATAAAATAAAAGTTATTTTTAAGATCAATTGTAATTAACATAAAATTTATTATATTTATAGGACTCTTGAGCTATAACTTCATTATATAAATGTTAAGGCATCTCCTTGCATGGTCAAGATGAATCATAGCCTATTACACAAATTATCTAACACTTTTACATTGGTTTGAAGTTAAATTTATGAGATTTGAATTTCTAATTATTTAATCATTAAATCCTCATAACATATTAAATTAAATTATTGAGATTAGTATAGTCCATTCAACATTTTTCATATTCTCTCAATTAAAATTAGTTATCTTGTATTCTTTTTCTAATTTAATAAAAGAAAATATAGAATATAAGCTTTGAACGTTTTACAGTTTGGTCAATATAATTTGATATCATATTACATAATTATTTGAATTTAAAATTATAATTTATTAAATGAATTTTCAAAAATGATTTTATACTAACATTTTAATATTTCACACTATCAATGCCCATCTTATCTTTTATTTTATTTTTTTAATAATAGTTTGTATGGATCTCTTAAAATACACTTTTCTTTTTTTGGTAAATTATCGATGATGAGCTCTTCCTTTGTAGGAATTTTTTGTTCAACATTAATAGTGGAAACAATCCGTTGCATAAGTACATATTATTACTTAGTTTTTTATAGCTTTAACTTGCTTAATTGATCATTATAAAAATAAATATATTAAGATTTGATTTAGTTCAGATTTTTTTTCTTAGTTCATTAAATATAAAAAAATGCATTGCATGTGTTAAACCATAATATTACAGTTTGAAATCGAGATTCACATTCTTGCTTCTAAAATAAGCAAGCAAAAAAGAAGAAAGTAAATTATTACTGGTTTCCCTTTTCCTTTTGGAATAGTCCTACTTTAATAGGAAGTAAGCAGTAAGCAATCCAAGAGAACTGTAAGTATACCAAACCGTTCAGTAATGGAAATGGTCGAAATGCTCCTCTACCTAGCTCTTGCTAAAATCAATGTCAACAAGAAAACTTGTTTTCGGAGAGATGACAATAAAGACACAACCTAGCTTGTAGTTTGAGAACCCTTTCTGTACAATCGTTTAAAGAATGGTTCCATGTTAAAAAGAAAAAGGTAAATTAGGATCGCGTTGCTTGTTGATGTAGAACAGTCTACAGGAGGAGAGGAAGAGCAGATCACAGGAGGAAGAGCAAATTGCAGGATATAATATAAATGCAGAGAAATCAGGAACTACAGTGTTGCCATTGGAGTATTCTTCCAACAGATTGCCTCCTTCTTTAGGAGTCCTAATTAATGTCGTAATATCAGGATTTATTTACTTTTCTAGCTCTAGTATTTGTTTTCTTTATTCTAGTTATTTCTTTCCTAAATAATTATATTCCTAGTCGAATTAGGACTTGCAGCCTATATAAAGGCTGT